GAACTAAAAGATTTGGTTCACTCCATGGGAAGACGTTGTAAGGCCGTAATTCATGCTAAAGTATTAACTGACATGGTGATCATTTTTGTATATTTCGCTTTTTCTATGGTGATACTTTTTGTATATCTCGTCGTTTCACTTTTCTTCTTTATAACTGCTATTCTAATAGCAAATCCTTCAAAAATCTTATTGCATTACATTCTTGATTAAATTGTCTTTCCATTGATATATACTTTTAGGGGACTACTCTAAAAAACGTGGTGTTATTAGCCATCCAACCTCAAAAATAGTACACTTTTCCCAAAAGGTTTCCACAATTTTGGCCACTACTGTAAATGACTGCAGTAAGACCTTCAAAGGACTGATAAACGGCACTTTAGGGACTGGGGAGGGGGCCTTGGCAGTAGGCGGGAGCCGAGAACCCAATCCCACCCAGCGGTTTTGCATAAATAAATAAATCATTGCAGGGAGAAGAGGAGGGCTTGCTTTGGGAAACAGCGTGCAGCCAACTCACAGGAGACAGTGTGTGCGAGTGTCTATATGTGTGAGAGAGAGAGAGAGAGAAAGAGAGAGAGAGAGAGTGTCATGTTACAGAGAAATCAGGAACAGTCACACTGCAATGTGCAATCAGTTGAGAATTACCTCTCTCTCTAATGGGGACCTTCACGCACAGGCTGTTGCCTATTCTGCCCAGGATCTGACCATCTGACCAAGAGGGAGGGAGGAAGAAAATCAGCAACAATAAAAGAAGCTTAAAAAAGAAGAAATGCAACAACAGCAACTTTGATCCAACTCTCTTCTCAAAAGAACTTTTCTGAAGTTTGATATTTTCCCCTCTCTCTCTCTTTGGGACAACGCACGCACACACACACACACATCCATTCCTTCCCCACTACTTGGTTCTACATCCATTTTTAATATATTTTTTTCTTTGTTTGTTTGCTACCTGTCCTTTTTTTTTTTTTCTTGCTTCAGTGGCTCTGGGAGTCTTCTGGATGGTGCTGCCCCTTCCTGCATCTCGGACCGCGTGCTTCTGAGAGGAAGACTCCTGCTTTATTTATTCAAGTATTTATTTATTTATTGCTTCTCGGGGCCAGGGAAGGAATGGTGGTAGAAGAGAAGAGCTGGAAAGGGGCTGCTCCTGGTAGCTTGGAGACGGGCTACCTCGCACATCCCAGGACGGGAGGAGATGGAGAAAGATGCTGTACTAGGGTACCTCTGCTGCTGAGCTCGGGGCTGCCTGGAATCTCTTTACTTTCTCTGGTGCTGAGCCTCTTGCTGTACTTCAGGACATCAGATCTGCAGTCCAGGGTTTCTCATTTGGAGGCGGACAGATCCACTCCGCTGCCTGCCGCCTGCCTCTCCGCAGACCAAATGGAGACAGCTATTTTGGGAAGAGTTGACCAACTGCTGGCGGAGGTCTGTGTGCTCTTTCATTTTCACATATGTGTACTAAGCTGCCTGTGGCCTCTGTACAAAGTCAGGGTTTTTAATTCGGCGGGATGCATTTAAACAAATGATGCATTGGAGAAAGTATCTTCGAGTGCCCAAAGCGGGAGAATTCTTCAGCTCGGCTTCTCCCCTTCCCTGGTGTTTGAGATTTCATGTCTGTTTGCCTGAGCTTTCCTTAGACAGCTTGAAATTAGATTATCCTCTTGTATGCTTCTCCCTCTCTGAAATAGATAGATACTTTGAGCAATTCATTAGGAGTATAACTACTGAAGAGATACATTAACCCATTTCTATATAGCCAACTTGGCTTCAAGGAAGTCAGTTGCACATGGGATTTTCCTACAATGGGGTTTATTTCTTCATATGCTGGGAATGTCTGCCAAATGGTAATTGCCACTTAGCCTGGTGATCCTAAGGCAGTGGTCTCCAACCTTGGCAACCTTAAGCCTGGCGGACTTCAACTCCTTGGGGAATTCACGGAGTTGACGTCTGCCAGGCTTAAATTTGCCAAAGTTGGTGACCCCTGTCCTAAGGAACTTTAAATTAATTTCAACCTAATCCAATTCACAAGGCTGGTTCGGTGGCAAAACCTGAGTGGAGGTGAACAATACCCACCACTTTTAGGTGGGATGGAAATGTAATAAATGCAGAATAAATAATGTTTTGCAAGCTCAGGGGCATAATAATTTCTATCAGATTCTGGGTACCACTTTTATTTAAAAAAATGAAGATTCAGCACAAGTAACTTCACAATGCAACTGATGCAACTTCACACCCGGTGACTGGAAGCTTTCAGGATTGATAGTAGCCAAATTGAAAACAGTCAGCAGCAGCACATGAAGTGTATAATTTGAAGACGATGTGATTCAATAAGATATCCAGCAAGACAATTGCTAGCAACAGAAGCCAAATGCAGCCTCGAGAGCGGATCAGATAAATGGGGAAACAAATGGGATTAGGCAGCTAGTAAGAGGCACCTCCGTTCCTTCTTGCTTGCTTAGCCAGCTGGGAGAAGAGATTGCTCTGCGTTGCCATCCAGATTCCTTGTTCGCAGATGTTATTTTGGAAACTAATATGGGACACAAAGAAACAATGTCTTGGCAAAGCTTTCCTAAGAGGAAGAAGCACTATTGCTGAGAACCTCAATCGGGGTGGGGGGGAGTGGGGGGAGGGAGATTAACAGTGAAATAAGAGATGGTCTGTTTACAAAATCTCTGAGGAGGTGGGACAATGCATAAATAAGTTGCAATGCCAGAAATTGGCAGGACCACCTACAGAGCTCCAAAGATTGACTGCTCCAAGCCAATCACAGGAAAATTCCCACCACTCCACTCTGCCTTGGTAATGTCTGTCAGGTTTACTGATGGTTACGTACCACCATTTTCACCTCATCAATCAGATGAGCAGATGGAGCCAGTTTACACATAGTTGGACCATGAGTTCATTTATGGTTATCTTAGAGCAGTGCCTCTTTTGGGTTTCAGGCAAGAGTTCCTTCCGAAGAACTTTTTTAGCTGGGGATGAATGAGTCCAAATCTTTGGAGAATCCGTGTTTCAGTCAGGGATAAAAGGCAGATCAAGAAATCACTAAAAAACGGGATCCTTAAAAGAGTAAGAGATGATGGATAAGAAGGAAAATGTTAGTAGAAGAGAGGTATAATTATAGGGTAAATACTAGTATAGATATATAAAGAGTCAGATCAGTAGATGGGAATGTGAAAGTAGATAATTTGATAATATTACTAATTTTGAATGTAATTTGAACAATGTTGGGAATTTAAAAATATTAATGATTGGGAAAGAGGAATTCATGAGATTATTTTGGGTGTGTGTGAAGAAGAAATAAGGTAAACATATGGAAATTTTTTTTAAAGAAGAAGATGAAATATAGGAAATAGTGAGGTTAACTATGTATAAAAATAAAATGAGAAAAGATAAAGAAATATGTAAAGAGAATAATATGATTGAAGTTGGCATAACAAAATTATGGTCAAGAATGATTAATTTGTAAAGATTAGGTGTTTAGTAATGATACGTAAGCTTAAATGAATTAATGGGAAAAAAATAAAAGATTATATAAAGGAGATGAATATTAATGGAAGTGGGGGAATTAGAATATACTGAAATTATGATTACAAATAAGATGTATAAAATGTGACCCAGTCAACACTCTGTCCATAAAGTATATATGATGGGGAAAAGGAAAATTGCAATAAAACTTTAAAAAAAAAACCATCATGATACCTGTAGGTAGCATGTCCCCTCCAGGTGGCATTTGTGGGGACTAAAAAAAAAACATAGCCCAAAATACAGGAGATTGTCAACATTTATAATACGGTTGTGTTCTCTCTGAAATCTTGGAATCAACTCTTTTTAAACCTCAAAGATTAGTTGATATAGTAGGATAACGTATTTGTGCAAACCAGGCTTACCATGACATACTCAACAGTTGTTTTCCACAAAGGGGAATCAATTAGGAATAAGGTTTCCCTCCCTGTTGAAAACAATGATATCATTTGATTTAAATAGCTAGAATGTAAAAGTTAGGGTTATCCAGTCATATTCTCCCCCTGCCCTCCATTCTGACAAGCGTGTTATACTGGAACGCTGCCATGAAGACTTATGTGTAAAAAATGTGGATGTAAATATTTCAGACCTATAAACATCAGGAAAAAAAGATGCCCCACCCCCCGGTTCATCGTGGGTGGTGAGTAAGAAACCCTTAGATCACTTGACAATTGAAAAATGCTGTATTATTATATTCTGCTTTGTTTAAATTCTTTCTTGGAGATATCTGATATCTGATAAATGCCATTCATCCTGTGTGATCATTTCGGTGGGAACTATACAACCTGTAGCTCCTGAGAAAAGGATTCTTGCCATATAGTTTTGATGGAATTCATTTTTCCTGCTTAGTGCTTAGAGCCATGATGGCGAACCTATGACACGCGTGCTGGAAGTGGCAAGCAGAGCAATCTCTCCAGGCATGTGAGCTGTTGCTCATTCCTCTTCCAGGTTCCGACATGCCAGCCAGCTGGTCTTCAGGCACGTGGGAGCACCATAAACCAGAAGAACAGCTGCCTGGTCTTCCAGTTTCTGGCATGCATGTGTGCACAAAGACGAGGTGGCTGATGCGCATGCGCATGGCGGAAACCGGAATATCATCTTCCCGATATGCACATACGCACTAGGCAGCTGCTCTTCCAGTTTCCAGCATGTACTGGCCACCTGGTCTTCCAGTTTTTGACATGCATGCATTTGCAAAGATCAGCTGGACAGTGTGCATGCTGGAAGATCATCTTCCTGGTGCGCACGTGTGCCCAGGTGGCTGCTCTTCTGGTTTCCAGGACACGTTGGCGCGGGCACTCATATTTTGGCACTCAGTGTCAAAAAGGTTCGCCAACACTGGCCTAGAGTTACATTCCCCTGAAATGTTCCATAGATCATAAGTTTAGAATCCAGATGGTGTTGGTGCAGATTATGGATGGATCTGTGCAAGACAATTGAGCTGATTACCTTGTAGCCTGGCCCAATGAACTACCACAACAGTTTTATGATATCATCACACACAAGGCAAAGGCTTTAACACAGTTATTATTTGGAGCAGCTATCGGTCCATAGTCTTAATTTTAGTCTGCTGGAACCTGTTCAGTCCAAATTCCTTAACTCCATATTTGGTACCCCAGAACGCATCTCAAATGTAGCCCTTAGGTGGAAACAGGGCTGACCAGAGTAAAAACCAGAATTAGGCAAGTACTATTTTATTATTGGCTTGAATGTATCACTTGTCTGCTGGAGGGCTCTTCTCAGGAAGTCCCTTAAGCCATTATTATGGGCCTTCTCAAACCATTTTACGCAACTTTGATCAGGCGAAACTGAGCTGCCCCAAATTTGAACTAATTGCTGGTTAAATGCCTGTGGAGATTCTCAGTCATCCAGGTCATGGTTGTCTCAAAGATGCTTTTTCAAGAGGCAACTGAACTTTTTTTTTGTTTTTCCTTGAAGACATTGAGCTGAAGAATGAGATGAGAAGCAAAACATCTTCAAAGAAAAACCAGAAAGTCCAGTTGCCTCTTGAAAAAGCACCTTTGGGCTAATTGCTGGTTACCAGACACAAATCTTTTGATGCAAAATTTTTGGAAGCGGTTTGCCCATACCTTCTTCTTCCTAGAGCTGCTAGAGAGTGACTGACACAAAGTCACCCATTTGGCTTTTGTATCTAAGAACTCATGGTCTCTTGGTTTCTAACCTGGAGTTTTAACCACCTTGACTTATGACCAATCACATAACGACTACATAAAGTTATGATGAACCCCTCCAAAAACCACACCCACATCCATAAACAAGTGGTCACATTTTGGGCACTTGGCAATTGGCTCAGCTTTATGGACATTTGTATCATCTTGTAGATTTATGACCACCGTTTTCAACATTTCCTGCCAGTTTCCGGCATTTACTTCTGGTTTCCAGCAAAAAAACTCTCATTGGGTAAAATAGATTTGCCTAACATCCACAGCATTTCCTTAATGACCACCACAAAAAAAAAGTTTAAAAATCAGGTCCACTCATGTGATGCTTTGTCTTATGACTTCTGTAACTTATGAATGTAATTCCGGGCTCAGTTATTGTCAAAGTATATTCATAGACTGGAATAGACATGGGAATATGCCAGCCAATGGGGACTGCTTGGATAGACGTGGCAACAGGTCAGCCAATGGGGACTGTTTGAATAGACGTGGCAACAGGTCAGCCAATGGTGACTGTTTGGATAGTTATGGCAACAGGTCAGCCAATGGGGACCGTTTGGGTAGACATGGCAACAGGTCAGCCAGTGGGGACTGTTTAGAAACTGAAACATAGTATTTGTTTGTATGGGGCCATAAGAGATGTTTGTAGTCTGGGCATGACTTTGACTTGCTGAACTGTATATAAGAGTTGGTTTGGCCTCTGTAATTTTGCAGCTTCTG